TTAAGACCTACTAGTTTAGTTGCTTGATTCACCTTCTTACAATGGCCTGAGAACTTCAGTTCATTGTCAACATACACACCCAGGCCCTTTTCGCATTCAGTCTTAATTAATGCAGTTTCTTCATCCCGTTGGGACATATGATATGCCTCCTTATCGTTGGTACGACCCAGGTGCATCCTCTTACACTTTGTGACATTGAATCTCAGCAGCCATTTCTTCGACCACTGTTGAAGCTCAGAGATTTTTCTGCAGCTCTTTGCAGTCTGTTTGGTTCTTAATTTCCTTGAATAACTTGGCATCGTCCACAAACATTTGTATGAAGGAGTGTATAGCTTCTGGCAATTCATTTATAAAACAAACAAACAACAACAGGCCCAATACACTGCATAATATCTGAAATTGGATATATGTTAACTCTGTATTTGATTTGATCATCTGGAGATATACCCCTCCAGCTTATTTCACCTAATGCTACTTCTGGAGGGTTAGGTTAGATTAACCCTTTCACTATAGGGACACCACTTTTATGTTTTATTTGGCGAATGGCAGATGATTTTCTTCAACACAAAGAGGACCTCGTACATAGGGGGTTAATACTGTATTAAGAATGGAATTAGCTGGGGTGTCTAATCTTTAGGTAATACATTTTTGGTATTGATATTCAATAGTAATGTCCTGTTTTGGACAGTGCTTCTTGTTCTTGGTGTGAGATTTGTAATTTGTTTTTTTGTAATTTTTCCATGTGAAGAGAAGTGAGAGTGTTTACAAGAGCTCTAATTTTGGCTTCTTTAAGATAAAACAAATTTGTACTGGAATTAGTGTCTGTCTGTAATAGAATGAAGATATACCTGTATTTCCAGTACCTAATATATATATACAGTTGTACCCCACTTAACGCGGTCAATTGAACCCAGAGGGTCCCGCGTTAAGTGAAATCCGCGTTAAGTGAACAACAGAACATATGGGATTAATTCCAATAGAAACCGGCCTGACCCCCAAACTCCACTTTTTGAAGGCACATACCTATGTTGTAGTAAAAATAACATCTTAATTTTATGATGGTACATGCACACAATTAATACTTAAGAGAAATACAGTCGCCAAGTTAATGTCCATTCAAATAATGGACTCAACTCCCTCCCTCTCTCACACTACACTCCCTGGCTCTTCCCTCTCAGAGAAATTTTTGGGGGAAAACCACTAAATTTTAATAAATAATACCTCAAACTAAAGTTAGGATAATACAATTGACATTGCTGGATTCCTTGTAAGACCAGGAATATTTTGAATATAAATGTCATATATTTTGCACAAAAGATAACATAGTTACCTAGAGAAAATTTTTTATCTAAAATTTGTATGTTTAATGAAAAATATATGATGTTTATATTCAAAATGATCACCAAATTATAAGAATTCCAGCAATGTAAATTATATTCTGACCGGGTAATTTGTATGAATTTTATGAGCTAAAACAAATATCTTCAGTTAATAAAAAAAAAAATAATCTTCACAACACTATCTGTCAATCAAAGTACCCCACCTTGCCTCCCCCCCTCTTCCAACCGCGCGGTCAGTCCCAACCCTCCCCCCCACCCCCCACCAATCCTCCCTTCCAGGGTTTTTAACATTTAGTATTAAATAATACCTCAGATTAAAGTTAGGATAATATAATTGACATTGCTGGATTCCTTGTAAGACCAGGAATATTTTGAATATAAATGTCATATATTTTGCACAAAAGATAACATAGTTAATTGGAGAAAAATTTTTATCTAAAATTTGTATGTCTAATGCAAAAATATGATGTTTATATTCAAAATGATCATCAAATTATAAGAATTCCAGCAATGTAAATTATATTCAGACCGGATAATTTGTATGAATTTTATGAGCTAAAACAAATATCTTCAGTTAATAAAAAAAAAAATAATTCTTCACAGGGTAACAGATGGTCGGTCGGTCCCTCCCTCCCCCCCACCCCCCACCAACCGTCCCAAGGAGATGTGTGGGATAACCACTAAATTTTAATAAATAATACCTCAAACTAAAGTTAGGATAATATAATTGACATTGCTGGATTCCTTGTAAGACCAGGAATATTTTGAATATAAATGTCATATATTTTGCACAAAAGATAACATAGTTAATTTGAGAAAAATTTTTATCTAAAATTTGTATGTCTAATGCAAAAATATGATGTTTATATTCAAAATGATCACCAAATTATAAGAATTCCAGCAATGTAAATTATATTCTGGCCGGGTAATTTGTATGAATTTTATGAGCTAAAACAGGCAGTCAGGCAGGGTGGGGCAAATCTAAAAATAGCGTCTCGAGCCGGACACTCACCGCGTATATGTGGAAAAAATCCGTGTTAAGTGAAAGTTCAGCTCTGGCGAGGCACCGCGTATATGATAAAACGCGTTAAGTGAAACCGCGTTAGGCGGGGTAATACTGTATATATATATATATATATATATATACATATATATATATATATATATATATATATATATATATATATATATATATATATATATATATATATATATATATATATATATATATATATATATATATATATATATATATATATATACAGTGAGTTCTGCTATAACGCGTGTTTTGATAACGCGAATTTGCTCTAACGCGATTTATGAATTCGGAACAATATTTGTATAACGCGATCGCTTGTTTGCTATAACGCGATTTTTGCTTACTATTTCTCCAATTTTGTGGTATTAACTGTGAATATGGTAAAGAAGAATATCTCCAAAAAGCATTCTGATGATAGAATTCCCGGTGATTATCGTAAAAGAAAGGATATAACACTTGAAGAGAAGCTTGATGTTATCAACCTCAAAATCACCCTTCTCCCCCATCAAGTTACATTCATATTTTTTCAAGGTAAAGTGTTAAATTTACTGTATGATTTCATTATTAGATATGAATGTAACATTTATTTAGACTGTGCTATCCTTTGTGTTAGGCTAACTACTAAATTTTTTCGATTTCGAGTAATCTGCACCTAACCCTATTTTCTCCATAAGCCCTGTTATTTCTATTACGCGATTTTCTATAACACGATATTTTACAAGAACACAATTATCGTTATAGCAGAACTACCTGTATATATATATATATATATATATATATATATATATATATATATATATATATATATATATATATATATATATATATATATATATATATATATATATATATATATATATATATATATATATATACAGTCAACCCTCACTTTACGCGGTTAATGTAACCCACAGGGTACCGCGGAAAGTGAGAAACGCGTAAAGTGAATAACATAACATATGGGATTAAATGAAATAGAGACCAGCTGACCCCCAAACTCCACTTTTTCCAACACAATACCTATGTTCTAGTAAAAATAACATCTTAATTTTATGATGGTACATGCACACAATTAATACTTAAGAGAAATAGAGAAATACAGTCGCCAAGTTAATGTCCATTCAAATAATGGACTCAACTCCCTCCCCCTCTTCTCACACTACACTCGCTGGCTCTTCCCTCTGAGAAATTTTGGGGGGAAAACCAGGTATAGTAATAAATAATACCTCAAACTAAAGTTAGGATAATATAATTGACATTGCTGGATTCCTTGTAAGACCAGGAATATTTTGAATATAAATGTCATATATTTTTCACAAAAGATAACATATTTACTCAGAGTAAACATTACATCTAAAATTTGTATGTCTAATGCAAAATCTATGATGTTTATATTCAAAATGATCATCAAATTGTAAGAATTCCAGCAATGTAAATTATATTCTGGCCGGGTAATTTGTATGAATTTTATGAGCTAAAACAAATATCTTCAGTTAATAAAAAAAATAATATTCTTCACGACACTATCTGTCAATCAAAGTACCCCACCCTGCCTCCCCCCTCTTCCAACCGCGCCAGATGGTCAGTCCGTCCCAACCCTCCCCCCACCTCCCACCAACCCTCCCTTCAAGAGAAAGAGTGGGTGAAAAAACTAGATTTTAACATTTAGTATTAAATAATACCTCAGATTAAAGTTAGGATAATATAATTGACATTGCTGGATTCCTTGTAAGACCAGGAATATTTTGAATATAAATGTCATATATTTTGCACAAAAGATAACATATTTACTCAGAGTAAACATTATATCTAAAAATTTTATGTCTAATGCAAAATATATGATGTTTATATTCAAAATGATCATCAAATTGTAAGAATTCCAGCAATGTAAATTATATTCTGGCCGGGTAATTTGTATGAATTTTATGAGCTAAAACAAATATCTTCAGTTAATAAAAAAAAAATATTCTTCACACATGCCAGGTGGTCGGTCGCCGGTCCCTCCCCCCACCAACCCTCCCTACCAGATAAATGTGTGGGAATACCAGACTGTTTACCTTTTTAGTAATAAATAATAAATCAGACTAAAGTTAGGATAATATAATTGACATTGCTGGATTCCTTGTAAGACCAGGAATATTTTGAATATAAATGTCATATATTTTGCACAAAAGATAACATATTTACTCAGAGTAAACATTATATCTAAAATTTGTATGTCTAATGCAAAATCTATGATGTTTATATTCAAAATGATCATCAAATTGTAAGAATTCCAGCAATGGAAATTATATTCTGGCCGGATAATTTGTATGAATTTTATGAGCTAAATAAAAAAATTATACTTCACCCGCGTAAAGGGGTACACCCACCGCGGAATGTGAGCATCCTGGGTTCTGGCAGGGCACCGTGTAAACGTGGAAACGCGGAATGTGGGACTGCGTAAAGTGAGGGTTGACTATATATATATATATATATATATATATATATATATATATATATATATATATATATATATATATATATATATATATATATATATATATATATATATATATATATATATATATATATTACACAGTAGTATATTACTATTATTAATATATATTTTTTTTTTTCAGCTCCCTTCATTCTAGAGCGGTTCTTCTGAAGACTGGCTCAGGGAAGTGAAAGAGGCAGCAAATCACCAGGAAAACTGTATAGTAATTTAAACGTAGATGATATTGGTAGACATAAGTTAACAGAAATATTGAGTGAAAATGTTTTGTATTTATGGAAAAGTTTGATCAGTTGAAGTCTTGTCAATAAAGATTTTATTTAATACTTCTCTTTTTAACCATATCTTATATATACCCGGTACTTAATGTCTTTTAATAAAAATTATGGATAGAATACATTTAACACCTTCGATGTGAATTTTTTATCATGGTCTGAGAAATTGGAATGTAGAATTTCTGGTCAATCTAGGCTGAGTGCACTTGGGGATGGCTATCAGCACAGGTATATGAGTTAAGATAAGAAAAAAAGCCCATTGATTTTTTTTTTGGGGGTGGGCTCTCATTGTACAGGGCAATTTATTGGGGGTTTATGCATTGCTACATCCCCAATAGTGTCTGGTGGTAAGGCAGTCCCTGATATCCCCGCGTGTATTGCCAACTCGAGCAGATGGCAGCTCTTATTACTGGCTTCATATCAGAGGCAGGTGGAGGGGAATGATGTGCCACAGGGCGAGAAGCAGCCGCTTTCGCCACAGTATCAGCACGTTCATTTCCCTTCTTCCCCACATGGGCCGGAACCCAGCAGAAACTGACTTTCCGGCCCTGATGTTGGATGAGAAACAGCCACTGTAAAATATCTATAACTAAGGGATGTGGTGATGAGACATTAGCTAAAACCTGGAGAGTATTACGAGAATCACTAAAAATTTTAAAATCATTGTGGTTGCGTAAAAATAATCTTGAGGGCAAGTAAAATACCCAAAGGCTCTACCATAGTGGTGAGATTACAGCCCCGACAGAATTCAGGAAGGACTACCCCAAAACCCACCCGTGCATCCAACTTAAAGCCGTTGGTGTAAACAGGGATAGTCCCTCTGTGAGAGGAGGCATGCTCTTAAAAAATGAGAATGAACCACACAGTCCTTTCTTTCGTTAAAATACTGACAAACTTGAACTTCAGGGAGAATCCACGGAGTGATACTAGGGAACCACTTGGGGCATATCTGAACAAGAGGAAAACAAAGAATACTCACAACCTTCTTTACCCTGAAGCTGAAAGATTATGTGTGGACATAGTCTCGTCAACTACACAATTGTTGGTTACAGACTGTGGAAGGCAGTGGAGGTGAATTCAACACTGAATCTAGAAATACTGTTGTCGAAGATCAAGGCCTCCAGGGTGATTATGTGATAAACTGTTGCAATGGATACAAGGATAATGAGGTGCTTTAGTGTAAAACAAACTATTTTAAAGAGGGTAAGACAACTCTAGGGAAATAGAGGACAATGTGCTTCAGTGTCTAAGAAGGTTCTAATCCATGAAAATAATGGGCTGTGGAGGGCAAAGTAGGGAGAGTGGAGACATTTGACCTGAAGTAGGATATAGCTTTTATTCTCTAAAGGAGGGCAGGATTGCATTCTATTTACATGCCTATGCAAGATATGGTTCATGTGTAATTTGAATTTTTGGGGGGAAAAATTTACTGCAGAAGATGCAGACTATAATACCTAAACATTTTTGTGCAAATGCGAAGATGTAATGCAAAACAATAATGTTACTAATGATGGGGATAAATCTCATACGTCAGAAGCAATGACAAAACCGGCAGTCGGACAGAATAGAATGATGTACGCTTCAGCCTTTGATGAGGAAACAGTTGACTATCAAACGTTTAGGAAACAATTCATATCCTTTTTCAGGTCAGGAACCAAAGGAGGTGCGCTTACTTGGATTTTCAAGATGGCAGAGCATACAAGTAACAGTGTGTTTGCACACGACGCACAAGAAGCACAGGCTTTAGCCAGACACACTAAGATGGATCTCAAAACTTACAAGGCAGCCAGAAAGAAAGAAGATAAATTAGGGACTTAGCTTATAGACTACGTGGAGGAAATTTATGAACCGGTGGAAACTTCTCCGAGGGCTCTGTCAGTAGCACCCGTAACCAGTTTTAATGAACAACCACAAACGACCACCAGCTTCAAACCCAAAAAGGGACCTTTTTGCAAAAACCACTACTGCCTGGGAAGATAATGGAAGCATAATGTGTTGTCTAATGGCAGACCCTGCTGCCATATGGCATCACGAAAATTGTGACCAAGTCCCAAGTTGCTGATCTGACTTTCTGCCTTATTTACACACAATTGCACGGTCTCAATTGTTTCCTTTACCATTGACAACACAACATACAGTATAGTCTCGGTTTACGCGGTCAATTAAACCCATGGAGGTACGCGTGTATATGTTCTGGGTATCAAGTTCTATCTACAGGAGCGAACACAAACACCTGTAGAGTTTTCGTAGGTTCTATTTACTGGACAAACAGAGATACACAAGCGAGGTGGCTCTTCTTACTCTGTCTGTGGGGTCAACTAGCCTTTTAGGCGACATGTGGCAAGTGATACATTAGCAGCTTCCATTTGTCGCCAGGCACATTAATTAAGCGTGTGGGACATGGTAAATACATTGCCACACGCTGCTAGCTAGGCTGAATAAATAATGTATGTAAATGGAGCACATGCATAATATACATACATAATATACATACAGCATACATAATATACATACAACACGTAAACGAAATAACAGAACATATGGGATTAATTGAAATAGAGACTGGGCCGACCTCCAGACTACCCTTTTTCCGACACTATACGTATGTTGTAGTAAATATAACATCTTAATTTTATGATGGTATGCACACACATTGAAGCCTAAAATATCAAACTAATATTAGGTTTTAAGTTAGTAGAAGATTACTTACTTTGGGCACACACGGGCATGGGGGCTGGATTTCGAGGCAGGGCAGATTAGTGGCCCTGGGTGTATCACTTGTATCACTATACCACAGAGGCTAGCAGGGCCTCCTCGTCAAACCCCTCAAAGTCATATCCCGCCACTATCACACACGGCTTGGGCTGGCTGTGGGTTCTTGGTGAAGAACTCAGTAATGTTTCATTGACAGCATTGATGTGTGGTGCATTGATACATCCTGGACATCACACGACCATGGGAACAGAGGTTATTTGACACTTCATACTTGATTGACTGGGTCTTTGGCAAGGATGAGCTTGAATTTCCTCAACAAACTCGATGACCTCCTTCACATCACCATGTGTTTGGTTTCTGTTCTTGTTCGTATTTTGCAACATTTCACTAAGCGTCATCATGGAGTCTTACATCTCCTCCACAGTCCTCAGTTTGCCTGATTACCTCCATGATATAAATTAGGTTGTTGTTAGTCTGGAGAAGCCTGCGAAACTCCTAACACTTTGTGCAGCCTCTCTTGCTATGTCTAATGCCACAGCAACAGGAACCTCACCAGCCACAGCTTGGCTCTGCCTCCCACCTGGGATACCCTCCAACACATGCACGCCCTGCATTGACGGAATGGTTGCCACAGACAGCTGCCCCCATGCGCCTCCACCAAAGAAATCCAACAGCTTTCTTGGCGTTAAATGGTTTCCGCAGCACCTTTCGCACTTCATAGTCCACCAAATCTTGTTCTGGATCCTGCGTCCCCTTATACAAGCTCTCTTGCTTCTCCCGGTGCCTACGGAAGGTGTTGGTGAAGTGGATTAGGGGCAGGCTTCTTTTCTTGGAGAAAGCAGCCTTGACGTTGCATATGAGAATTCTGATCCATGGGCGTACTTGGCGTAGTGTTAGGAAGGAGGAAGACCACTTTTACATTGGGGTGTGATCCAGCAATAGAGTGAGAGTGTCCTGAATTAAATTGTCAAGAACAACAAAATGTTGAATGGAACATTATATTTGCTTTCATAGAATTTCTTCCACGATCAAACTAGGAGAGGGACAGACCAGTGAAAGACATCCACACACCTTCCGTGAGTTAGCCAATGGACATTAACTTGCTCATGTCCATATTTTTTTGGCGGCATAAAACTGCTTGGGCTTTGTTGGATCACAGACAACTTCAGCTTACAAGTGCGGCGCTGGTGAGTGAACAGGACGTATGCACTCCTTCTGCCGCTTCCCGACCCGACACTTGCTAAAGCAGGCTTATTCTGAGAAGGTCTTGGATAGCAATTTCTTCCAAAACAGCAGTTTGTCCACTTGTTGAATACTTGGTAAATTGATTGTACTATCCTTCCTCCATAATTTCACCGTAGAATAGGGGAAAATTCACTACTTGACAGCCAGTCCAGCCACTTGCTCCTTCACCAACAATTTCAATTTCGTGATCTCGTGCAAGGCGTTTGAAACCTTGCAACCACCAGCGGAAGCAGTGATGAAGGGTTGGGCTGCAACTCCATTTTCTTACCGCTGAAATCGTACAGTTCTCTCGGCGTAGTCCTGCAATGCCCAAGTGTGCGACCGCCATGTTCCTACTTGACTGGCGAATCAAATTACCTGACCAACAAACTTTCAGTCTTCAGAAGCACCTTATTGTGGCAATATTTCACCGTAGGCACACCTACAGACTGTGATGCTCCATGTGTTCTGCTTTGATCTTAAGCGTCTTGCCAGTGGGGTGCGGATGCGTCGGTTCATTCACTCCCTTATTGTTTAGAGATCCCACCTGCCTCGTGCCTTTCTCTAACTCCTGGACGATTTTGTACTTGGTTCATAGCTTAGGTATATACAGCACCTTCTTGGGCTTGGGGGCTTGGGCCAGGTAGTTCAAGGTTTCTGGGGTGGTGAGGTGTCACGGGAAGCCATTGTTGGCGGATTGCATGGGCCGCGAGGCACTGTATCTTGCTTGAGGAGATGGAGAACAATGGGACTGGCGCATCTAAGGTCAGCACCTCTGGTGTCAGGGGCATGCGGTTACAAATTAGACCAATCCGCATTTCGCAGTGGGAGGATGCATGGCCCAATCACGGTCAGAAACATCATCCTCTGACTTCAAGCGGTGGCGTAAGAAGCGACCTTAAGCGCGGCGCGCGCCGCTTCCCATAAATTCAGGAATGTACCGGCGCTAATGATTGGTGGCGTCTGGACGGAGTGCAGCGTAAATGACCAGCAGCGTATGATAATGCGTAGCCGGGGAGACTTTACTGTACAGTCGGATTTCTGCTCTTAGCGATAGTTGTGTTCTTGTAAAACATGCGTGTTATAGAAATTGGCGTAATAGAAATAGCA